TAACCATAGGGAGGAAGTGAGACAACTGTTGTTACATGGAGGGGATTGCAATCATTGAGATGAAACAAAGTGTAGGATTTGTTGAATGTAAAACTGGTAAGACGGTCTGTAAACCTTCACTCAAATCACAGTAAAAAATAGTTTTCGTAAATACTAACAATGAACTATTAGAAAATGCAACAGGAGAAAAGATGTCATTCATATAAAAATAACTAAGAATGAGTCCTAGTGTGGTGCTGTGGGTTAATGTTCTGGACTGCAAACTCGGTTTGAACCATAAGGGCAATAGTTCAAGCTCACCAACCACTCCTCAGAAACCCTATACAGGGTTGCTACGAGTCAGAACTGACTCAATGGCACGTAACAACAACATAAAGAATAGGCCTAACAAGAAATGTGAAAGACCAAGACGGGGTTAAAAAAAAAAAAAACAAAAAAACCCACAACTAAATATTGATTAAAGTACATAAAAGAAGAACTGAATTAAGTTGGAACCTAAAGTGTTCCTAAATAGGAAGAACGAAGTTTCAAAACAAGACAATTATCTCCAAATTTACCTATGAACTCAGCAAAATCCACCCCTGCCCCAAATAATTCCGTAAGATTTGCAGGGAAGTCAGAGAATCATTTTAAGTCATCTGAAAAAGTAGGTGTGAAAAGACTAGCTAGGAATTAAAATAATGATTTAAAGAAAGAAAAATTAAACCCAATCTTAAGAGACAATATTTAATCTCTCACTGAACTTCCTGACTCAGTCTTCCACAACCAACTACCACTAAGGAGCTTTGTCGTTAAGTGTCATCAAGTTGGTTCCAACCATAGCAACCATCAACCTTGCAGTTAGCAGTTCAGTGTTCATCCTACAGCACCATACCATGACTACACTAAGTAGCTGGAGAAACCTTTTTATATAAATCCAACTAGGCCTCCTCCTCTTGCCTAATACTCTTCAGTGCCACCCCCTGAATTTAAAAGCCAAAATCTTCACCATGGCCTACAAGATCCTTGGCCTGCTTCTCAAGCTCACCTTGAGCCACTCTGAACTCTTCTTCTTTCTAGAGTACACCAGCTTTTCCCCTTAACTCAGGGCCTTTGCATTTGCTGTCCAGAAAGCTCTTCTTCAGCTCTCTTAAATTATTCCCATAAGTGATTTCCTCTCATCCTTGAACTCTGAGCTCTCAACTCACACATTACTGTTGGGAGCCAGCGCTGGTGCCATCTAATGGTGAAGGTTTAGATGGCCATCATGCTCTTATGATTGGCCTGAAGACAAGTTTCACCTGGCTAAGGTGATGTCAGTGATCGAGACTTATTGTTAATTGTAACTAGGACAATCCTGGGAAAAGGGAACTTAAATTGAGCTAAAACCGTGTGATTCTGTGTTGCTATAACGATGCTTATACTTATGTAATCATATCCTGGTTGGTATCCTTATTCCTTGTTACTATGGAAAACTTGTAACTAGGCAGAATAACTATGACCTAATGCTAAAAGTCCTATATAAACCACGTTGCTACAATAAACTATATCACTGGCCATCAGCCTGTTGATCCTTATCTGATTAATTAATCCTCGCCTCTCCTTTGAGCAACCCACGCAGTGGTCTGAGCGGGTCTCAGACCCCGATACATTACTACCTTGATAAGGGGCTTTCCCACACCTCACCTTTAGAAGGTCACCTCTTCAGGGCTTCTCAAGCTTAAGGTACCAACGAATCACCTGAATAGCATATTACAACATATTCCTGACCCCACTGGGGATGGGATGGTGTCCAAGAATTTGCAGTTCAAACTAACTCCCAGAGGACGCTGACTGATGTTACTCATCTGTAGACCACACATTAACAAGCACAGTACTCTAGTACTTATGTTGTTGTAAGGTGTTGCCGAGTCAGTTCTGACTCATAGCGGCTCTGTATAGGGTTTCCAAGGAGCAGCTAGTAGGTTTGAACCACCAACCTTGTGGTTAGCAGTCCAGTGCTGATCCTACAGTACCACAGCAAGATATCAACATGTAATTTTATGGTGGTAACTTACTTGTTTAGGAGTGGTGCAGTTAACATACTTGGCTACTAACCTAAAAGCAAGAGGTTCAAGACCAGCCAGAGGTGTCTTGGAAGAAAGAGCTGGCAATTAGCTTTAAAAAAAAAAAAAAAAACTGCCATAGAAAACCCAGAGTTCTTCTCTGGCACACATGGAGTCATATAAGTCAGAATTGGTTCAACTGTAACTGGTGATTATTCCACTAAAAATATCCTCCTTGAGGAAAAAGAACTAGTATGTATTATTCAAATATATGCACTGAACATTTAGATAGTGCTCAGATTATTTTGTTGCATACTAGGAGAATAATGTTGGTCTCTCCAGGAAACATTTACAATTTGCAGCACTATGTCTTCGGTAAAAAAATCTCTCTGGTCTTTGCAGATGACTTGTATCGTAGAAGACCAGCTAAATTTTCACATTCCAGGAGAATTTCTTAGCTTAGGCCCTGCCTCTTTGCACGTAAACGTATACTTCCAAGGGCTCGCAACACACACAACTCTTATTTTCCTCCATTACATATTTACATCTGCCATATGACCCAGTAGTGACCCCAAAGGGGAACCATCACCTGGCTAATTTAGTTGCTCTGGTGTGGTGCTGTGGGATAAAGCACTGGACCCAAAGGTCAGTTTGAACCACAAGGTCGGCAGGTCAAACTCACCAGCAGCTCCTTGGAAACCGTTTACAGGGTCACTGAGTCGGAACCAACGCAACGGCACTTACCAACAACACAGATAACGAAGGGGTCCTGGTGGTGCAGAAGTTAAGTGCTCAGCTGCCAACCAAAAGGTTAGCAGTTGAAACTAGTTGCTCCCGGGAGAAAGACGAGGTAGTCGGCTTCCGTCAAGATTTTGAACCCTGGAAAGCTTACAGGGAAGTTCTAGTCTGTTCCATAGAGTTTGGTTTTCATCTGATAACTAATAGTCGTAAAAAAAAAAAAGTGAAAGGTTAGGGGGAGTGGGGCTGAAAGAAACTCAGCTCACCTGAGGCCAAGTTGTTTGGAGCATGGCTGAGGTCACCTGGCTTCATGCAGTGTCTTCTGGGATTGAAAACTCAAGAACCTTAGAAGCTAAGAGAATAAGAGTCATGAGTGCGATGGACACTGTCCAGCATCACCCACAGCCACATCTGCCCTCCCAGGGTCTTCATTTCCAGCACTGGGAGGCTGTCAGCCCCCCTCTTGTGGAGCACCCCCAATCTCATCATTAATTGCTCTACCTGGTCCCTCCATTACCCTGGTGAATGCCATTCAGACACGGCGCATTGAAGGATCCAAGAACCCTGTCTCTACAGTGTTGGTTCTGTCAAATGGAAAGTTTCATACAATGCTTACAACGGTCATGGCAATCACCCTCAAAAAAGTGCCTCAGGAGAGAAAGAGGAGCAGAGGTAGGTGATGCTAACCAGAGACCCAACTGGAACCTGCACATTGTATCCCAGAAAGCAGGCGACCCGGAACATCAGAAACGTCGGTCCCGGGCACGCGGGGCAGCCAGGCCAGTCTCTGGCCCCGGGAAAGGCGCGCGACCACCTCGGGTGGCTTGTGCGAGGGCCCAGACGCCTGGGCTCCGGGTCAGGGAGCGGTGGGCCGCCACTGGGACCGAGTTCAGGGGAAGAGATACTAACGAGCACCAGAGGCAACGAGGAAACCGGCATTGGGCGGACCTGGCATGGAGAACTCGCTGGAACCCACGCTCTTCGACCTGGAACCCACAGAAGCTGGTAACTAAAGCCCGATCCGGAAGAAAGAGTACTTCCAATGCCACTCTAGGCCGCACGGAGGCCGCCCGTCTCGGTCACCTCCGCTGCGGGTACCCAAGCTGCTCATCCCGCCCTACGGAAGAGGCGGGATTGCAGACCGGCTCCGGTTTGTGAGGCTCGGGGTGGGTGCGGTGCCACAGCGCCCTCTGCGGGTGCTTCCTCCGCAGAAGCGCACTGGTAAAGCACACACATCCTGGGAGAATACTTTTGGAAATCGGATACCTCAAAAGATCTTGCATCCATGATATATAAAGAACTCTTGTAGTCAAGTGCCGCTGAGTGAGTTCTGACTCATAGCAAGCCTGTATAGGGTTCTGAGACTGTAAATCTTTGCGGGAACAGAAAGGTTCAATAAAAATGTTGCAAGAGATATCAATAGATATTTCACTAGAGATACTTGGAAAGCAAATAAACACATGAAATAAACACATGAAAAAAAAATTCAGTTGCTGTTGCTGAATGCTATGGAGTTGGTTCCAATTCATAATGACTCTGAATAGGGTTTCCAAAGCTTTAAATCTTCACAGGAGCAGAAAGCTTCATCTTTCTCTCATGGAGCACCTGGTGAGCTCCAACCGCAGACCTTGTGGTTATCACAATCCAGTGCTTATCAATAGAGCCATCGTGCTCCCAGTTATTCATTTATGCAAATTAAAACTGCAATGGATATCAGTACATGCTTATTAGAATCGCTAACATTTTAAAAACTGACAATATCAAGTGTAAAGATGAAAACTCTCATCCATTGGTGAGAATGTAGAATGGCACAAACTCTTTGTGAAAGTTTTGAAGTTTCCTTAAAAGTTAAATATGTACTTATACAACCCTGCCATTCCACTCCTAGGTATAAACTCAAGAGTCCTGGCATGGCGCTATGGGCTAATGTGTCAGACTGCAAAGCCTTTGAACTGTAAGGTCGGTGGTTCAAGCTCACCAGCTGCTCCTTGGAAACCCTATACAGGGTCGCTATGGGTCGGAATCGACTTGACGTCACTTAACAACAACAATGAAAGCATGCATCCTTACAAAGAATTACATACAAATGTTCATAGCAGCTTTATTTAATAACCCAAACAGGAAACATCCCAAATGGCTGTCAACAGGTGAATAAACACATTGTGGAATACTCTCTAGCAATAACAAATAATAACTCATGTATATGTAACATGGATAATATAGTTATGCATAAAGTATCCAGACAAAAGAGTACAGACAGTGGGGTAACATTTATATTAAAACCGAGAAAAGCTAATCTGGAGTCACAAAGCTAATCTGCAGCTCAGTGGTCACCTGGGGAGAGCAAGGCAGGGACTACAAAGAGGCAGGAGCAAACCTTGGTGGGTGATGGTTATGTTTACTGTCTTCATTGTCATGACTGCTTCATTAGTGTATAACCTCGGTCAAAACCTATCAATTACATAGGATAATAGCTAACTTTTTTTAAGTTTTGTAACCAGTTGACTTCTAAGTACTTATGCATGCATGAATCTATTTAACTCTCAATATAACCAGTGAGGTAGGAAAATTATGCCCATTTTATAACCAAGGAAATAAACGCAGAGTTTTTGTAACGTGACCAAGATCCCACCTCTGGATTTAAACCAGTCTTTCAGAATCCACTATTATTAACCATTATCCTCTGCTTCCTGCTATAGGCAAAGTCAAGCTGTCAGCAAAAATGGATGCTAAACTAAAACATGTTTACATCTTTCCTCTTTGCCACAGGTAACAGAAAACATTGGTAGGGTTTCCCATGACCATAAAAAGTAAATAAAGTTGCAAAGAAATATTTTCTGCTTGGAAATATTCCACCTGGAACAGCAAGGAGGTTAATACATTTAAGACAAATAGTGCCTCACATTTGCCTCAACCACGTACCCACTGTTATCAGGTTTCCAACTCATACCACCCGGATAGGATAGAGTAGAACTGCACCATAGGTTTTCTTTACAGAAGCAGACTGCCACGTCTTTCACCAGAAGAGCAGGTGATGGCTTCAAACCAATGGTCTTTGGGTTAGCAATCTAGCACTTTAACAATTACACCACCAAGGCTCCCTCAGAGATACATATACACCCTGACTTCTGGAAAGATACAGACTGCAAACGAGCAGCAAATACAAACTCCACAGAAAGCAGCAAAGAGAGGGGGCATTGCATCTGAGGTAGGTCACCAAAAGCTTGCACCCTATTGGGAATGTCCTCCAAGATGCAGATTGTTCTATAAGAGTGTGGTCGCTTTTTTTTCTAGTTTAGGAAACTTCTGACATACAGGTTGTAACAGGATGGCCAGAAAGCTATTGCTTCCCTTTATCTTTCTTTGGTGCACATCTCAGAAAGGATATATGAGAAATAAAAAAAATAAGACCTAAACAGTTTGGAAATGCCTTTATTCTACTCTCATAGTTCAGGACAGAGAGTTCTGGGTAGAAAGTAATTTTCCCTCAGAATTTTGACACCCCATACTGTTGTCATCTAAATATCAGGTTACAGTTGAGAAACCTCTCATTCCTGATCATTTCTCTGTAGAATATTATTTAGGTTCTTCTCTTTAAACCCAGTTGTTGTGGTTAGGTGCCATCAAGTCAGTACGGACTCATAGCAATGTTATGCACAGCAGAATGAATTACTGCCTGATCTTGGGTCAACCTCACTATTGTTGCCATACTTGAGCCCATTGATGCTGCCACTTTGCCAATCCATCTCACTAGGGGTCGTCCTCTTTTTCTCTGACCCTCCACCTTACCAAACATGATATCTTTCTCCAGTGATTGGTTCTCCTGACAGTGTGTCTAAAGTATGAGAGACAAAATTTGGCCATCCTGGCCTCCAAGGAGCATTCAGGCTGCACTTCTTCCAACACAGATCGGTTTCTTTTGGCAGCTCATGGCACTTTCAATATTCTCCTCCAACACCATAACTCAAAAGCATCAATTCTTCTATGGTCTTCCTTATTCACTGTCCAGCTTTCGCATGCATATGAGGTTATTGAAAATACCATGGCTTGGGTCAGGCGCACCTTAGTCTTCAAGCTGACATCTTTGCTCTTCAACACTTTAAAAAGGTCTTGTGCAGCCGATTTGCCTAATGCAATACGTCATTTGATTTCTTGACTGCTGCTTCCATGAGTGTTGGTGGTTGATCCAAGAAGAATGAAGTCCTTGACAACTTCAATCTTTTCTCTGTTGATAAGAATATAGTTTATTGGTCCAGTGGTGAGGATTTTCATTTTCTTTACATTGAAATGCAATCCATATCGAAGGCTGTGGTCTTTCTTCTTCATCAGTAAGAATTTTAAGTCCTCTTTACTTTCAGCAAGCAAGATTGTATCATCTGCATATTGCAGGTTGTTAATGCGTCTTCCTCCAATCCTGTTGCTACATTTTTCTTCATATAACCCAGCTTCTTGGATTATTTGCTCAGCATACAGGTTGAATAGTATGGTGAAAGAATACATCCCTGTTGCACACTTTTCTTAATTTTAAACATTCAATGTTCCCATGTTCTGTTCTAACAACTGCCTCTTGATCCATATACAGATTCCTCATGAGCACAATTAAGTGTTCTGGAATACTGATTCTTCACAGTGTTGTTCATAGCTTGTCCTGATCCACACAATCGAAGGCCTTTGCATAGTCAATAAAGCACAGGTAAACATCTAGTAGTTTGGTAATTGAGTGATGTTCTTCCCCTACCTGGTGTGGCACTGTGAGTTAATGCGCCAGACTGTAAAGCCATTTGAACTGCAAGGTCAGAGGTTCAAGCTCACCAGTTGCTCCTTGGAAACCCTATACAGGGTCGCTATGGGTCAGAATCTACTCAACTTGACAGTACTTAACAACAACAACAACCCCCCCCCCACCATATCCATCTCAGTGGGCAGTCCACTGATCCCTTCAATCTGGAAATTTTCATTTCCTTTCATGTTTGTAAGTATTGGGGATTTTGTTTTTTTTGTGTGTGTTGTTTTGTTTTATAATGTTTTTTTATTTTGTGAATTGGGTGAAGGGATTGTGTTCTAGTTTTCTGTCTTTTGTAACCCATAAAAAGAATTTGATGGAGGAGACAGAGAATCTCAGGAAAGTTTCACGATGGATGCTGAGAGTCTGAACAAAATAAACATATTTATGGGACAGAAAGAGCAGATGTTCTGGATATGCAGAGCTGTGGGGTGAGAATGAGCACAGGCCAGGGGCACAGTGCTGACTCTGAAAGAACAACATAAAATGGGAAGAAACAAGAAGAGGCACAAAGAACCTGACTATGGATAGCCCTACTATTGGACACGAATCTTCTGAGTATATAGTTTCTGGTGCAAAATGAATCTTCTACACTAGCTGAAGAGTTTCCCACCCACCTTACACTCACAAGGTTTCTTGCCAGTGTGAACTCGGTCGTGCTGAACAAGGGTGATTTTCTGATTGAACACTTTTCCCACACTCCTTACATTTAAAGGGCTTCTCCCCGGTGTGAATTCTTTGATGTTGAGTCAAGGCTGTGTTAGAACTTAAGTGTTTCCCACATTCCTTGCATTCATAGGGCTTCTCCCCAGTGTGCATTCACTGATGAACAATAAAGCTTGAAATGCAACTGAATGTCTTCCAACATTCATCACATTTAGACAGTTTCTCCCCAGTTTGGAAACTCTGGTACGAAAGGAACATGGAGCTGCTACTGAAGGCCTTGCCACAATTTTTACCTTCATAGGGTTTTTCTCCAGTGTGGATTCTCTGATGCTGGATTAAAGCTGTATCTGAACTTAAACCTTTCCCACATCCTTTATACTTAAGTGGTTTCTTTCCAGTGTGAATTACCTGATGTTGAAGAAGTATTGAGTTCTACCGAAAGTCTTTTCCACATTCTTGGCACTCATAGGACTTCTCTGGTGTTGAGGGAAGTCTGACATGCGATTGAAATACCTGCCACATTTTCCATATTCAAGAGATATCTGATATCAAGAGATATCTGACCACTATGACCATTTTATTCATAATGAGTTATGTGCCAACACTACCTTTGTTTTCAGTTTCTCACTCTTCTCCTTGCTCTTCATAGTACCGATCCCATGATGCTCATTTGACCTACCTGTGAACTCTCTCCTCTTTGTCTTTTTAACTATCAAGTGGCCATGCAGCAACTCGAGGCTGCTCTCAACATCTGGAGGTTGGGTAACCTGGCAGTTCTCCTGATGCTACTCTTTGGGACTCTGCTTCTTTGGAAATGTGTGGCTTTGGAGATGAGTCTCCCTTCTCAGTTCTGGTCTCACCCCCTGATATCATAAAATAAAAATAAAAGTGTCACCACCTGATATCACAAAAAGAAAATACAAAAGCAAACAACAAATCTATGCTCGGGGGCAAGTAAGTCCAAGTGGTGATCACTTTTCCTGAGTAAATAGAAGAATTCTACCAACTTTTTCAATCTGAAATTAATGAAACATGTAATAAAGATGTATTGATCATTACTGCTAAGATAGAAGAGCAAGCAGAAAAAAGGATAAAAAAATCTTTAGAGAGTCTAAGATTCATGCTGGGTAACATGAAGAGGACCAACTTAAGAATTATTGGTATTCTGGAAGAGGAAGAATCAGAGAAGTCCACAGAGGAGATAGTGGAAGAACTTCTGGAAGAAAATTTCCCTGGAAGGATAGACCACAAAAGAAAATCACCAAGACATATAATAATCAAGCTCTCTAAAAATCAAAGACAAGGAGAGAATCCTAAAAGTGGCCAAGGAAAAGAGAAGTTTTACTTACAAAGGCAAGCAAATCAGATCAAGCTCTGACTGTTCAGCAGAAACCATGAAGGCAAGAAGGCAATGGGGAGACATATACAAAATCCCAAAAGAAAAAAACTGCCAACCAAGAATCATCCATCCAGCAAAACTGTCAATCAAATACAATGGTGCAATCAAAACATTCCAGGATAAACAGAAGCCAAGAGGTTTTGTCAAAGCCAGTCCAGCACTTCAAAACATCCTAAAGGGAATTCTTTGGACTGAAAACCAAGAACAGACAAGAACCATAGATTGACAGGCATGGCAACACCACCTGAAACTCAGACGATGGACAGCAGAATCCAGAACAGAACAAAATTACAATGAATTAAAAGGTGCTGGGAGGTCAACCAAAGAACAAAATAATAACAATGTCAAAGAAGGGAAAAGTGTAGGAACAGAGATCCAGGTGGTGAGGAGGTCAGGTAGATTACAGGATACAATAGATTGTCTTAAATGAGGGGAAAAGTTAATAGACTATATGGTAACTCCAAAGAAAGTTACTAATTCACAACTTACCATGAAAATGAACTTCCAAGCAGAACATGAAAACTAATTAGGAACTGACAAGAAATAGCACAAAAAACCACAAACTCAGCACAAGAAGGCACGCAGAACAAAGGAATGAATAGTACTACCAAAAAATTAACATAATGGCAGCAATTAATTCATACCTATCGATAATTACATTGAATGTCAATGGATTGAATGTCAATACATTGAATGTCAGTGAAGAAACAGAGAGTGGCAGAACAGATAAGAAAAAAAGACTCTTCAATATGCTGCCTGTAAGAGACACACCTTACACACAGTCAAAAACAAACTAAAAGTTAAATGATGAAAAAAATATATACCAAGCTAACTGCACCAATAAACAAGCAGGAGTGGCAATACTAATCTCTGATAAAATAAACTTTAATACAACAACGAGCATAAAAGATAAAGAAGGACACTATTTCATGATCAAAGGGTCAATTGAGCAAGATGACATAACCATAATATCTACACTCCCAATAAAAAAGCACCAAGATATATGAAGCAAACATTACTAGAATTGAAGAAAGAAATAGATAAATCTACAATTATAGTGGGAGATTTTAATACACCACTTTCAAAAGGGACAGAACAACCAGAAAGAAACTCAAAAAAGTTACAGAGAAACTAAACAACACAATCAACGAACTTGACCTCATAGATGTGTACAGAACATTCAACCCAACAACAGCACAATATACATTCTTCTTTAGTGCACATGGAACATTCTCTAGAATTGACCATATGTTAGGTCACAAAGCAAGCCTCCATAAATTTACAAACATCAAAATGTTACAAAGCATCTTTTCAGACCACAATGCTATAAAACTAGAAATCAACAATTAGAAGACAAAGGAAATAAAGTCGAATACATGGAAACTGAATAACACCCTGCTGAAAAGCGACTGGGTACCAGAAGAAATTAAACATGAATTCACAAAATTCCTAGAAACAAACTGGACAGTGAATAAGGAAGACCACAGAAGAATTGATGCTTTTGAATTATGGTGTTGGAGGAGAATATTGAAAGTGCCATGGACTGCCAAAAGAACTAACAGATCTGTGTTGGAATAAGTGTAGCCAGAGTGCTCCTTGGAGGACAGGATGGCCAAACATCATCTTTAATACTTTACACATATTGTCAGGAGGTACCAGTCACTGGAGAAGAATATCATGTTTGATAAGGTGGAGGGTCAGAGCACAAGAGAAAGACCCCCAGCGACATGGATTAGCAAAGTGGCAGCATCAATGGACTCAAGCATGGCAACAGTAGTGAGGTTGGCCCAGGACTAGGCAGTGTTTCATCCTGCTGTGCATAAGGGCACTATGAGTAGGTACCAACTCGATGGTACCTAAAAACAACAACAATGTGAATATTTTCCAGTAAACTCAAAAATGTTGGTTTCCTTTTTAATAATGTTAGTTGAGGATTCACATTCTATTATTAATCAGTACACGGTTACCACACATCAGAGACCCACAAGTGAAATGAAGACTCTTGAGAAAGAGATGAAAGTAAGGCCAGGAGGCCATCCCATAAAGAGCTTGAACACTGGAATCCAGCAGAAACTGACAGTCAAGGGAGAAAGAGCAAGAGAAAGGTGAGTGCAGTGGGTAAAAGGCAGGCACAGAGAAGTGAAGATAGACTTAGAGGTGACAGGAAGTCCACTGAGGTTAGACAAGGAGCAGGTCAAGCAGTTTACGTACTACAAAGGAGCTCACAGACCAGAAAATAGCCTGGAAATGATGAATCTCAAGATTTAATCACTAAGTTGTTAAACCACTGATTACTGGAAAACATTATGTCATACTCTTTGAAGAGAACTGATACCCATCAAAGTTGACACTACTAAGGGCTGGTTTGGAAAGCAGCAGGCCACTATGCTGTAGTAAGGGGAGAATGTATGGGTGGCAAACATCACAGGATCCTGAGGGACTGGTGAAAGCTTAGAGGCTTGCCTCTCAAAACAACGGGTTGAGGAAATGGTAAGAATCCTTCCAAAAGTGGGCAGCAGTCCTTGAAAGGATCAAGTAACCATTTTTACCCTTCATTCCTAAAAGTCTTTACAACACATGTGTACTGATTAATAATAGAATGTGAATCCTCAACTAACATTATTAAAAAGGAAACCAACTGGTATTTCCCTCCACTATCAAGGCCGTTGACAGGTTTACAGAATTTTCTGCATTGGGGAAGCAGGAACTTCATGTGTTTACAAGCGAAATGTTTAATAAATATTTCCCCATACAGCTTGAGGTCCTGGGGTCATATCCAGAAAGAAACAACTTTAACACCAAGATGAGAGGTGCACCAAAAATAAGCATTCTTGGTAGAATCTGAAGACCTAAGGAAATTTAAACAGGGAAGAAGGGAAGCATAATAATAAAGACAAGAAATTTCACTACATTATTTTTTCTTATTTTCATATGAATATCTTTCAGAATGAGGAAGCCATTCACCTCTAATTTAATTAACAAACAAGTTTACCTTCAAAGGTTCTTTGGTTCAAAATATGTGTGCCAAGTGTGTGGGGGAAAAGATGAACCAAAAAGAGTGGATATTGAGAACTGCAGAGGCTGGGTGAGGGATACATGGGGTATTGTGCTGGCCTCTTCTTATGTTTGAAAATCTCTATTATGAAAATGAAAGTTGTCTTGTTAAGTCAGTGTTTGAGAACTCAGAATTCAGTTTCCATAGAAACAATGCACTGTGTGTGACCAGACAGGTCCCAGATGTCTACTGTCCTCATAAGGCAGCTAACAACTTCATCTCTGAAAAAAACAAACTGGTAGAAAAATAAAATATTTCCACATGACAGAAAAGAAAAGATCTAAGTTTAAGATCTGCTCAGTCATTTTCTTTATTGGTGTTGAGGGCAAGAGGCAGAGGTAGACATGTGCAGAAATCTGCAGCCATGTCTTTTCTAGAAGAGACTGGTCCTTCCTCACCTACAGCAGGCCACCATTTTGAACTCAGAAAATCATCCTTGATAATTCCTTAAGAAAGAAAATAATCATACCAGAGAAGGAATGCTTCACTCACATTGAACTGGCCAAACTAAAAGTTGTTGTTGTTGTTAAGTGTCATCGAGTTGATTCCGACCCATAGTGACCCTGAATAGGGTTTCTGAGGAGCAGCTGATGAGTTTGAACTGCCGACCTAGTCATTCAAACGGCTTTGCAGTCTGGCGCATTAACCTACAATGCCATACCAAGTAGGCCAAGCAAAAAATGTGCTAGTAGGTTCTCAAGCTCACTTGGAGAAACAGCTCTGAGGGTCCCCCTGTCCACGGGTTCACAGGGATCAAGGCCCCAAGGCAGTTCCCCTTGCTCCAAAATCTGATAAGGGACAAAGATTCAGGATCAGAAAGGTAAAGGAGAATCTTGAAGCATTGTCCCCTCTCAGACCTCTTTTATCTTTTTTGCTGAGCCAGGTAGAGAGGGAAGTGAGATGACGTAAAGTCAGGGAGAAATTTCACAGCCTGTGGCACGTTAGAGGACAGGTCCCTCCCATAAAGGGGGCAGAGACAGTGTACACTATTAACATAATCCCAGGATAATCCCAAATTCACATGAGGGGGTCCAAATCTTCTTCAGAAAACTGAGAGGGTAGAGACACAAAAAGCTCTGCTGAGACCCCCAACAGCTCCTCTTTTCCTTCTGTGATGGAGGCAAAGCCCCTCCTAGGAGTGGGGAGATAGCTTGCATCAAAACCAGGGCTCAGTCCACTCACTAACTGCGGTGAAGCTCAGCCTTCAGAACAACTACATGGGAGGTTACTAGTGATCTCACAAATGCCAGGAAGAAAGGAGCCAGGATGCTGAAGGGCAGGTAATAGCGGGAAGAAGGGAAGTCTTATGCAGGGAAGCTACATTTGCATAATGCTTCTGTATCTCCTCCCTGTAGAGAGCCTTTTGTGCAAGGTTCAGGATGGCCCACTGACTCTGGGTGAAGTACAATGCTATATCCTCAAAGGTCACAGGCTCCTAAAAAAATAACAGGTTCCTTTCAAGCCCTGTATGAGGGCAGAGGTCAGACTGACAGCAAAAATAGAAGAATGTTTTTCAAAATACTGTGGGAAAACTTATTTTACTTGTCAAGATAGGCGTCACAGGGATTAGATTTACCCCACAAATGAAGTGCAAAAAAAAAAAAAAAAACAGACAAATTACATGATACTGGACATCAGACAACAAAGGACAATGATCCCTGAGAGATAGGAAACACAGCAGTGAATCCTACAATTTCCCAAGCTTATTACATTGAGTTTCCAGGCTGAGATGTTGGAGGATAACTGAATTAGAGGCAGGCAGAGTCCCCTGTGGAGACCAAGACAGTTAGCATTTACTGGACACAATACCAGTGAGGAGAGTGCCACCAAAATAAAATCCTGATCTGCAGAGGGTTACCAGTGCTAATCAACACGTGGGTGTAAAGAAACCACCCAAGACCAGAAAAAGAACCATTTGAAAGGACTGAGGGGAACAAGATTCACAGGGGACTAGAAATTGTGCCTGTTCCCATGAGCAAGACTGGAAAAACTCAGTTGATGGGGCACTGGATAGAGTACTCAGGAAAACCTTGCCTCAGTGGTGGAGAATCAGTGCTTCTAGAGAAACACTGCTCTAGACCTTACTAGCAACTCAGAATATCAAGACCAGAAAGGACAAATAGTTTCCAAGGAACTGAATTACATTCCAGAAACACTCAAGAAGATATAAAAATATCAAGTAACCTTGTTTGCTGAAAGTTAAGAGGACTTAAAACATTTGCCAATGAATATCAAAGCCCATAGCCTTAGATGTGGCTTGCAGAAAGAAAACAAAACAAAAATCCTCGCACCTTGACCACCAAATAATATCAAGATAAATGGAGAAAAGATTGAAGGCACCAAGACTTCATGTTGCTAGCATCCACCGTCAACACTCAGAAAAGATGTTGTTGTTGTTACGTACTATCGAGTTGGTTCCGACCCATAGCAACCCTGTATAGGGTTTACAAGGAGCAGCTGGTGAGCTTGAACTTGCAGTTCAAATGGCTTTGCAGTCTGGTGCATTAACCCACAGCACCACACCAGAACTGCACTCAGAAAAGTAGCAGTTAAGAAATCAAACAATGTATTACATTACACAAATCTGCTGCACAAGACCTCTTCAAAGTGTTCAAGAGCACAGACGTCATTTTGAGGACTAAGGTACACCTGACCGCAGCCATAGTATTTTCAATAGCCTCATATGTATGTGAAAGTTGGACTATGAATAAGGAAGACTATAGAAGAATTGATGTATTTGAGTTATGGTGTTGGAGAATACTGAAAGTATCATGGAATGCCAAAAGAACAATCAAACCTATGTTGGAAAGTACAGCCAAAATGCTCCTTGCAAGTCAGGATGGCCAGACTTTGTCTCTCATACTTCAGGTATATTATCAGGAGGGACCAGTCCCTGGAGAAGAACATCATTCTTGGTAAAGTGGAGGGTTGGAAGTAAAGAGGAAGACCCTCAACAAGATGGCTTGGCACAGTGGGAGCAGCAATGGGCTCAAGCCCATAGCAGCAACTGTGAGGTTGGTCAAGGACAGGGCAGTGCTTCATTGTATTGTGCATAGGGTCATTATGAGTTAGTACCAACTCAATGGCACCTAACAACAACAACAAGAAATATCCAATAAGGAAAAAATTCTACCTGTCATCTAATCAAAGGTTACAAAACATTTAGAGAGGCAAGACCAATTGTTACAACTATTGCTCTCCTCTTATCTGGAGCAATGGAGAATGAAGGAAACCAAAGACTATCAAAGAAACAATTAGTCCATAGGTCTAATGACCCATACGAACTACAACCTCTTCTAAGTGTATGATCAGAAGAACTCAATGGTGTCCAGTTATCACTATCAACCACTCTGACCAAGGACACAATAGGAGGACATGATTACAATGGGAGAAGCATGTATAACAAAATTCAAGTCCATTTTAAAATAATAATTTAAAACCAAATTGACTGGACTGATAGAGACTGGAGGGACCCCCCAAGACTATTCCCTAAGAAACCCTTTCAATCTGGAAATGATGCCAAATAACAGATTGGCTGATAAAATAAACAGTAATACTCATGAGGAATGTGCTCCTTAGAAAACCATATGAGACCAAATGTCAACATTCGTCCCAAAGCAAAGATGAGAAGGCAGAGGGGCAGGGAAACTGGACGAATGGAAAGGGAGAAGACAGTAGAAATGGAAAGAGTGCTGACATATTAAGAAGATGGCTACCAACATCATGAACAATTTGTGTATGAATTGCTGAATGGATGGAAAACCAACTTGCTATGTAAACTTTCACCTAAAACACAATAAAATGTTCAAAAAAGAAAGAAAAAGAAAGAAAGAAAACATCACCTATCATGAGGGAAATAATCAAAATGTACCCAGAACTAAAAAGAATGTTAGGATCGGTAGAGAAAGACATTAAAATAATTGTTACAGCTATA